AAACTTGATGAGCACAACTTGTTCTCGTCAACAAATTTGGTAGTGCTCTCTGACCATGGATTAGCGCAAATTGAAGAAGAAGAGCAATTTTACTTGGAGGAATGTTTATCGGATTACTCTAAGGTATACTTAAATATGTCATAGGAGTATAGCCTCTTGGTTCATGTTTCATTGCACGGTTTATCGATTTAATAGAAAAAACCAACCCTGAATAATAGAGTACCGCGCGAATTTATCGCACGCCGCGTGGTCCACCTTCTCCGCGGAGTAGCTGTGTTGGCGCGACTTTTCTCTAGCTGTCTCATGCCCGCACTTACATATTTTGAAACTGTTGCATTTTATTCATTTGGCTGTATACAACATTTCCAGGTAATCAAAGTTGTAAACCTTCACTCAATGTTGATGGTCTTCACTGAACCAGAAGATGAAGGACATGTAGGTTTTTCCAATACTAAGCCAGACATGATTCTCAAGAGGTCTCTCTTGAAAAACTGAAATTCCAAGAAAACAAGAGACTAGAAATTCCATAGTTCATATTCAAGATTCCTACTCCGTTGTCATTACATAAAGAGTTCAAAAAAGTACAAAACCTGCTTCCCTACACCGGATCAGTGGGACCCCTACAGATGGGATTTTCTGATGCACTCCTCTACTTGTTATTTCTTTAAAAGCTTTTCTCATAGAGAATTCACTGACATAGGGGATAGATTAGCTCATTCTGCAAATTCTGCTCTAATGCTCTCGAATTTCAACCTCATTCTTCAAATTCCTCTAATCCGATGGATTCTTTCAGGTGCACTTCGAATTACGAGTATGCGATCAATGGGCTCCTATGGGTGACTACGAAGATACAGACACGTTATTAGTAAAAGCACATAAGGTAAAGCTCATAGCAATTGTATTGTAGACCATTTAGCCGAAAAGATGATCATCGAAATTCTTGATGCAACTGAAAGGTTATTTTTAGTTATCGGAAATTCCCGAGCGATTACACTGGGCAAACTCAAGGTTCATGAGTGGTGTGGTGTTGTTGACGAAGCCAGGAACTAGTATCATCACGGTAACTTTGAACGAACTTGCATACCTATTTATATTGGGTACACCCAAGTATTGTATACAGGAGAGTATTTAGTTTGCGCACTTCATCCGCACTCAGAATATGGGCGGAGCATCGATCACCCTCACGCTCCCTATTGGTGAAGCAACGGAGGGCGCACCAATAGGAAGGAGGGGCGGTGCAGCGCACGCTTAGAGCGTCATTAATGAAACATATTCAGTTTGCGCTAACAATGTCAATTTTTGCAAGTCGTTGGTGCAGAAATTTATTACAAGCGAGCTATCCACTTTTCAAATTCACAGTTTGCCAACTATATTGTTTTTACTGTAAAAAAAAATTGTATTCATTGTATATGAAGAACTATTAAGAGAGAATTACCTTCAATACCTTCTGCAAGCGATCAATCGCGTGAGGCTAAGCAAACTGGAGGATGGGATCCTGACACTCCACAAATGAGAGGCATTTTCATGGCCAGGGGTCCAGGTACATATGTGTTCATCTTATTTTTCTGCACAGTAACAATAATTTCAACTGAATATTTCTCGTTCAGCTTTCAAAGTCAACGAAAAGGTCGGACCCATTGAGATAGTCGACATCTATCAGGTAAGTTGCTCATGTCTGTGAACTTTTCAGTTTCTGGTATTTTACTGCAACGGAAATTAGTAAAATGGTTAACTGGTAAACCATCCTGAGGCGTCAAGACTCCATATTCCATATCTTCTACAAATTGTACCAACCTCTTTAGCCTTGGTAACTGGAAAAAAGTAATGATCTCAAGACACTCACCACTGTGGACTCCTCTTGAGCAGATAGGCTGCTTTCATTGGTCGCCAGCCGATGTAGTGCTAGGGAGGGGGAGGGAGGCAGACGGGACCGGTCGACGCGGTCATGTCGCGCCCAAGCCCCTTCGAAGGGCAAATACAAATTGTTTCGATATTGTTTTTCCTTGTTTTCAGCCCTTCGAAGGGGCTTGGCCGCGACGCGACCGCGTCGACCGGTCCCGTCTGCCTCCCTTCCCCTCCCTAGCACTACTTCGACCGGCACGCCGGGCGGCCGGCGGACTATGAAAGCAGCCACTAATCTTCGTTCGTCGGCAGAACTTGGAACCACGGGTTTCTTTCTGCACTTGCGTGTATAGGGGAGCTGGAGTACCGCATTTTCCACAGCGCGTTAAATGACACTAACTGCATGCTCATCCTGCTTTCGTAAAGTCCAAGTCTCTGAGGCGTACGTCAAAGCGGGAAGCACCAGTGTCGAGAAGGTGAACGCGGAGCCGGATTTTCTTCGCATTCTTCACTACTCCCCTGCCGTTCCTGAATACTCCCCACGCCGTAAGTTTTCTTCCGCAGATACCCGAGTTAGGCCGTTCATCGTGTTGACTTCTTGGTATAGATAGATACACGTAGCTAAAACATTCAGAAATGCTCGCTTCGTTCAACGTGAAGGGAGCATCAGGTACCAATTCGTTTCTCATGAACATCTTCTACATTAGGGTCAGCCTTATCCGATTTCCACAAGCGCTGTTGAGTCCGACCAGCATTTGTTCGCCTGCTCGATGTTCGTTGCTATACGCACTATGTCGTCTGCAAAGCGGAATGATGTACGAAGCGGCCGTCAACGTTAAGGCACTATTCGCGATAATTCAATGGGCGGGCACGTCAATGACGTGTCCGCCTCTCATTCGACGCCACGTCAGACTGTCTGACGTGACATCGAATGAGAGGCGGACACCTCATCGACACACCTGCCCATTGAATTATCGCGAACAGTGCCTTTAACTGTCAGGCCTTCCCATGTCATACCTGAACAATTGGCAATGAATCGATGAAAATCGCTACAGAACGCTACACCACATTTTAGGGTCATTAAATCATTACCAAAGATTTGTTGCGTGATCGTGCATCCGTGGGAACTCGAGTCCAAGCTCTTGTGCCCTAGTCCAATTCATTCATTATTCATTACATTTGTGAGCCAGACTGTCCCTTTCTTTGGGCGTATTGTAGGAGCAAAGTATACTCTTCATCGCTTGTTCGTCTCTCCTGGTTCACTGATTGATTTATAGCACAACAAAATCCGCGTTATAGGATCGAAATTGGACTATATAAGGCACAATAAGGGCTGGAGACCGTCAAACAAGTCTACTTCTGGGAGGACGTCAGTGGCCACTCCCAGAAGTAGACGTGTTTTGACGGTCTCGACGGCGCCGACGTCGACTTCGTGAGACAACGCTGTCGTCGTTTCTATGAATGCAACCAATCGTGACCCATGGCGATAGTGAAATGCGATTTTTGGTAGTAGGGACACTGTGAACAACTCCTTACGATACTGCAAACAACTGAAATTTCGTCCAAACATCCTCTTCGTCGTCATGACCTCGCACAACCGTGTGAACTGACTGCAGAGAAGAAGTCTTATATTTTGTGATCTTGATGAACTTACTTCTTTCGCCACCGATGTACTATTCCGCAATGCCTCTTCCGTTCTTTAATCTGAAAAGGTATCTCAAAGTTATCGAGTTATGATCTCAGTCTCCCTATTTAATCAGGTTTCCTACCGAAAAGTCAACCTCAACCGGTCCGACCAGCCCCCAAATATAGACCTCGTGTTGACTTCCAACAGGAATACAGAGTTTTTTCTGGCGCAGATAGAGAAATCAGCTGACCCAAATGGATCCGACCAATTTTCATGTGTACTCTCATAGTCGTTAT